TATTTTATTTAGGGATTGTTTAATTTTTTACATGAAATAGAACTGATAGTTTGCCTGTATAAACTATTTTATGTTAATCAAACCGATATATTATTTTAACCAAATGAATGTTTTATATTAATTTGAGTTTCATTTGAAAAATAAATAGTATACGAACTGGGCAATGCTGATAACCTAATAAGCAACTATTTATGACATTTAGATAATTTGCTCAAGTATATTCCTATATTCGTCGTTTTTTTCATTACATTTGTTGTATGTAATAAAGATAGTCACTTAGCCTACATGTAAATCACGCATCAGCAGTTGTTCGCATTTCACGAATCTGTGAACCATACTGTGAGTAAAAGCTGTGTTTACGTCGTATATATAAAGTTGGGCATACTTTGTTCAATGTTAGAGGGTATTAACGGTCCAATTTGATGGAAAAGGAGTCGTGGATTTTAAAACTATGTAGACTACCACTACCAGAAAGATGTTGATTCAAGTGAGACTTAGAACTGGCCATTTCAAATGCAGATTTGTATTATATTTTACTCAAATAGTTTTTTGTCTCTTTTGACCTTTAATACTTTTTTCATAGTCGCTGTTGATAAGATTTTCCATAAACTCAAATGTTGATAAGGAGTTCATTTTACATTCCCCTTGTGACAACATAAGGAAAAAATATTTGTGTCCCAGTTAGTCTGTTCTGACTCAAAATTCATAGATTTGCTGTACTGACAAATCCAATCTAACGACCCCAATTAAAAAAATTGGTATTTTTTAGAAGGGCTTCCAGAGCACCTTTAACACCATCACTGCTCTTTACCTTTTTAGTTCGATGGTTCTCTACAGGTTTTTTTCGTTCTGTATGTCTCTTTACGCCCGGTTAATGATAACCTTTTCTTTTTCTTTTTGTACTTTTCACATCCTGGGGTTAATGATAAAGTTTTATAACGCTATAATGGCCCGAGTCAACATTGCCATAAAACATCAAGTCAGATACTTCTTCGCTAGAACCGAAATCGTAAGTCACAGTTTCTCAAGCAACTTCCCTGTGTATGCCTACTCGAAAAAATATAGTTCACTGATAAATTGTCGTTCCAAATATCCCAGCGTACTCGCCCTCTCGAGAAGGTAAAATTTGGACGTCGAACACTGATCTTGAGTAAGATTAATCACTTACGATAATATGTTTGTATGTTTACCAATCATTAGCAATTATCTGTACAACTTGCAAGCGGATTTCCCTATGACTGTTATGTTGGCTATAGAGAATAAATTATATCAAACTTAAACTCAATTACCACTTTCCTTCAGATCACTTTGCAGGAAAACTAAAACATTTCAAAAATAAGTTAACAAATACACTTTCCTTGATCAAAATCGTGTGTTTATAAACAGAAACTCCAAGTTCAATAATTGCATACTGAAAGTGAGGTTATAAAAATAATAACAAATGTCTGACAAACATTAAACAGCTGACAAATAATTTATAAACTGTGTATTATATTCTTCAATAAGAATTGTATTGACTCGACCTTTAAAGGACTGTAGGTCGTAGCCCTTAGAAAAAACGTAAATTCTAAGGAAGTTCGGCAAATCTACACATTATCCCCTTTAATTTGAGACATAAATCTTGTAGATCGGTCCAGTAATTACTGAGAAAACAGTGTTACAACTGTGTATTAAATATATAGATGGTAAACAAATTTGAAGAGGCAACTTTAAAGGCTTCTGGGGCAGAGCCCCAAGGGAATTTACCTCGTTCCTCTTTTGATGGCTCATCTATAGACCAAGACCTTTCTTTAGAGACCCCTACCAAGTTTCTACGCCCAGCAGTTCTCTCAAATTAGCTGGGACAAAAAACCAGTTTTTCCTCCATAAGAATAACATGGGATGGGAATTCAAAGGCCACTGGGGCAGAGCCCCATTGGAATTTACCACGTTTCTCTTTTGATGGCTCATCTACAGACCAAGACCTTTCTTTAGACACCTCTACCGAGTTTCTACGCCCAGCCGTTCTCTCAAAATAGCTGTGACAAAGAAAAACAGTTTCAAATTAATATATAGATACTTGGAAACGAGTTAAAACAACTAATTATGTGACCTAATCCGAGAGTAGATCTGTTCATAGAGATCAGCATATTATCATATTGCTATTTTAAAATGTATAGTTTACGGGAAATTTCTCCTTTTGTCGTTTTTCTAGAAGTTACTCCTTGAGTTTGTTCAAGCTTAGAGTTCAATAGGACTTAAAAAATAGAGAAAACCGATTTGAAAGATTTTTAACCAAAACAGAGGAGCATCGTGGTTGTCAATTTAATTTGTTGTAGCAGTTCGAAATTTTGGTATGTTGGGAGTGTTTGTACAATCATTTGCAGTGTTCCAATGTTATTTCAGGGTTTTCAGGGTATTCGTACATCGAGAGCATTCAAAACATGATCTTAAATTAGGAAATCCACCTATTATATATTTTTTCTGTGATTCTTGAGTTAAACGTTTTAAGCTATTCATTTTTTTATTTTTTTAAAGAGTTTTCAATTTGTTGTATATTTTCTTAAAGTGTTCCACCGTAGTTTGAAGTTGATACGTCGACTTTCAAAGATAGGTTTAAATCTATATATTTCATAAGTTTTTGAGACAAGCATTTTACAATAATTATAACAATGCACTAAAACTATGACTGATCTGCAACCATGTTAAAACGTTAAATTTTCCTGTAACAAGTTGCCATATTACCTTCATGAAATTTGTGACCAAATCATGAAGATTTGAAACAACAGTGTAGTACAGTTTTATTCAACACAAAATTATAACAACCTACTTACCTATGATACATTGATATATCTTTTTAATGAATTTGTATTGACTAGTAAAAAAATGCAAGACTTACAATTCGTATACTGCTTTAGAGAATTTTCCAAAATTCGTACGTCTTCTGCACTATCGTTCATTGATATCTCTGACAAAATCTAAAAATTGTTGACGTTGGTTAGACGGGTCATTCACACTTAATTTCTACTTATAGATCAACAGGTTGAATTTTTTATGTATCTCCTCTTGTAGATTTAGTAATTGGTGAGTTTTATGTTAAGAACTAAAACATAATTCCTGCAAGGGACTGGAAAACTTAGTTAATAGTTAGGGTTGAATTGAGCATTACCCGATTTAATGGTGCCAGCGAAGCAAACCCTTAATTGTTTACCTATGGGTTTTGTCCACTACGAATACTACTATTAACATTATAATAATACGTATCCATTGCTTAAGAAATTGTGTTTTTACACTTTAATTCTTTCATACGCTCTTTCCATGACTTTGGGCATTTTCGTGAAATACAAGTTTGAATTAAATCCCACCTATTACATTTATTGACTCCATCAACTCTCATTTTGTTAATCGATTTTATTAATCACAATGCGATGCATCCAATAAAGTTAAATAATTCAATAGCTACATAATCTTTATTCAATTTTGTTCTGCTACACTATTTTTATTTATTCTTTCTTTCCTGATTCCATCAAATACAACCAATTCTTCCTTTCTTCGTCTGAGACATGTAAATTGATTAACCGGCTATTTCTTGATTCGCTTCGACATTTAAATGAGGAAACAAACGAAGACGTGTTCTAAAAACCGGTTGTTGTTTAGATACCGGAAAAAAGCTTGAGCATCAGGTCAGGTGTGCCATACGGGCGAGCTCACGTGCCCAACAGTGTGCAATACAGGAATACAGCATCATGGGAAAACGCATGCGATCCTCCCAGGTTGATTTACTGCCATAATGGAATGCAGAATCCTTTTCCTTATCTGAGTGCTACAAAATGCGTTGAAGACGTCTGTATTACATCATAACAGCATTATTTAAGTCAACGCATAGCTTGCGGAAACAAAACAATTTAAAAATATAATAAAAAAAATGTATAAGTATAAAAGAGGACGTTTTGTTGTATATTTGACAATGATAAACTCAGATACCGCTGGCCTGAAGCCACGAAAATTGGTACACGTAGAATTTCATGGAATAGGTTTATACTTTAGTGTTAACGAAGATTTGTTTCTTGTTGCCAAGCGGTTAATGGACCAAACCTTTTGCATATATTGCCATACACTATATACAATAATTTTTGTTATATATCTAGATGTTTTGCACAACTATGTCGTAGCATAGATAAAACATACTCCATGAGTAGAGTTCTCATCCTTATGGAACAGGATGGCACATGGAACTCTAAAATAATAGAAACAAAATTTCGTCGACACTAGCCACCAGTGTCTACTTGTGTTGGTTAGTCTAGGATGTATCCTACTGCAAAATCGAAGGCCTTTTTTGAGCTGTGTTTCATGCATGAGCTATGATTGAATGCACTTCAAGGTTGGATATAGTTTTATTTTATCTTAATATAATTAATTTTTACACTAAATAATTTTGGAATTCCAGCTCCATCTTCAAATTCCTTCGCTGACCGCCATTTCTTTCTAGTTCATCCCAGACACATACTGGTTACCCTTAAAACTGCACAAATTGTTCTTGATCGTATCCAATTAATTACCAAACTGTATGGTTTTTTTCAATTTTTCTGATAATTTTTCAGTCATAACCTGTAATAACTGTATTACTCAATATTAATAAGTTAAAAGAACCCGATACCAGGGACAACTTACTAATTAGCATGTTAACTCCGACCGCCGTTCCACTCCGCTTCGTGCCATCGTTCCTAGTCGGTGACGTCACTCAGCAGTGCAGCCAACCACACACACGAACTCAATAATCTTCTGGCAATGTAATATAGCCTTATATATTACACTCGCCCAAACTTAAAATAAAACTCTTCTCTAACGGCCTAACCTTTTTCTTCTAGGCTAAGCCAAATCAACAATTTTTTTTCTTCTTTTACAATTTTTGTTTGTTTGTTTATAAGCTTCACAAAATACTTCAGTAATACTAAATAAACTTTTTTTTTCTTCAAATAAAATAAACATAAAATCTTCTCTCTCTAACTCGGCCTTTTAACTTAAAGGTCGAGCCGCTTCGGCTTTTGCACAGTCCTTTGAGATCTCCGAAGTGATGGCGGGCTGCACTGCTGGCTGGGCTGCACTTCGGGATGCTCGTCTGTAGTGTGCGTAGCTGGAGATTTTGGTAGGCCTACACTCCGTTGTTGTCTTGGTGATGTATTCCGAGTTTCCATGACACGAGGTGATCGCTCTGGCGGAGTTTGTATTCCCACAGTAGACTTGTGCTCAGGGGATTTGATCGGAGATTGCACTACCGGCCTATTGACTGTTACTTCCTCTTCCTCAGTCAACTTGCTAGATCTCAAATGATCAGCGTGGCAGAAACGTATTTTACCTCCCAGGACGCTCACCACATAAGTAGACGGACTTTTCCGCTCCAAAATTCTCCCAGGAATCCAAGAAATGATCTCCTGCCGTACTGACTTCACAAGCACCCTTTCTCCCTCCACAAAGGATCTGAAACTTCCCCGATGGTTATCGGCTGCTTCCTTCTGCGCCTCCCTCTTCTTATCAATGGCTGACAATAAACAGGGTTTAAGCATTGTCAACTTAGTTCTCGGTTTCCATTGAAGGAACAATTCCGCAGGGGTAACACCAGTGACAGTACTGGGTGTGTTGCGAAATGCAAAGAGGAAATTATCCAATTTATGTTGTAAAGAAATGGTCTCATAACCACTAGCCATAACCTGTCTTTTAAGGTTCTTCTTGACTTCCTGTACAAATCTTTCTGCAGCCCCATTCGAGGCAGGATGGTAAGGAGGTGAGAGCGTAAACTTAATACCGTTGTTGCTCAGAAATTCTCTGAATTCCCCACTAGCAAAATTGGGACCATTATCACTGACCAATTCTTCCGGTAGGCCAAAAGACGCAAACAGCGTACGCAGTTTTTCAATGGTTTTAAACGATGTAGTAGATTTCATGATAAACACTTCTAGCCATTTGCTAAAACTATCAACAACTATGAGCATTTGTTGTCTTGTTAGTGGGTCTTCCGCATAATCCACGTGGATGCGCTGCCACCTACTTGAAGCTCTAGGCCACTGACATAATGGCACCTTAGCCACAGCATTCCTTGTACTCTGACACACATGACATGAGAGAACAGTCTCTTCAATGGTTTTATCAATCCCCGGCCACCAAACAAAGCTTCGGGCTAACATTTTCATCCTATTTATTCCGGGATGCTGATCATGCAGCAATTGGATAACGGCACTCCTCAGTTTCTCTGGCACCACTACTCGACTACCCCATAAAACACACTGGTTCTCTACGGACAACTTATCCCTTCTTCGAAAATAAGCAACCAGCTCAGAATCTTGACTATCACGCCATCCATGCCAAATGAAATCTCTGACCTTTGTCAAAACAGGATCAGTATCAGTAAGTCGAGCGATATCCTTAGCAGTAATAGGATTGAGATCACTCACCAATTTGAAACAGTCAAAGGCCTCTACCAGGGAAGAAACATGAGAGATTTAGTTGGAATCCAGCTCCAATTGGTCGTCATCAGGTAACGGTAATCTCGAAAGAGCGTCCGCATGTGGCAAGTCCAAGCCACGGCGGTACTTTACTTCAAAACTGTAGGCGGAGAGGATCAGGGCCCATCGTTGAAGACGCGCAGCGGCGACACAGGGAACTCCCCGCTTATTTCCAAAGATTGTCACTAAAGGAGCATGGTCAGTCTGTAACACGACATTTTTCCTACCGTAAATATATTTATGGAATTTTTTTACTCCAAAAACAAGAGCCAAAGCTTCTCTATGCAACTGTGAATAATTTCTTTCACTAGCACTCAAGGATTTCGATGCGAAGGCAATAGGCCTCTCTACTCCATCAATAAGGTGCGAAAGCACGGCACCAACACCTCGTGGACTTGCGTCACAAGTCAAAACTAATGGTCTATTTACATCGTAATGAACTAAGACATCTGAAGACAATACCCATGTCTTACTTTCTTGAAAAAACAGAAGAACATTGGGATGACCATACCCACGGTGCATCCTTACGAAGTAGATCGTAAAAACAGCTAAGTTTGTCTGAAAGATTGCAAATAAACTTCCCATAATAATTTATAAGGCCTACATAGGCTCTTAACTCTTCCTTTGAAGTTGGCTCAGGTGCGTTCCGAATCGCCTCTAAGATACCCTCCTGCGGGCTGATCCCTTTGGACGACAAACAGTAGCCTAGGTACTGTACTGACGGCTGTAAGAATTTACATTTAGAATCATTTACCTTGACTCCATAACTTTGAAGACGTTGAAGAACACTCTCCAAGCGTGACAACGCTTCCTCTTGTGAAGATCCACCCACCAGTACGTCATCCAAATATGCCACTGACCCAGGTAGGCCACCAATAATTTTGTCCATGGCCGCTTGAAAGAGAGCCGGAGCCGAAGACAAACCATACGGCAGACGTCGCAAACGCACTAAGCCTTTGTGCGTAGTTAGAGTCAAGAGTGGTTGGGACTCCTCCACCACAGGAAGTTGGAGATACGCTGCCTCCAAGTCCAAAACTGAAAACCAGCTACAACCTGCTAGAGTAGCAAAAATGTCCTCCGGTTGAGGCAAGGGATAGTGTTCCGACTGGATCACTTGATTAAGGGTTACTTTAAAGTCCCCGCAGAGTCGCATCCCACTTTTCTTCTGAATCACCACAATAGGAGTAGCCCACTGAGAGCTGGTAACGGGATAAGCAATACCTTCAGCAATCATCCTATCAATCTCATCTTCTACTGATTTACGCAACGCGTAAGGAACAGGGCGATATTTACAAAATTTTGGCACAGCATCCTCTTTTAGCACAATACGTGCCTCAACATCCTTAATTTCACCAGGACCTCCTTTGAACACAGAGGCATACTTTTGTTTCAAACCAGAAACGACTTTAGGCTCAACGGCCTTACCTAGGGTTAGGTTAGGTTCACCACCCTTAGATTTAACACTGCCTGATAGGCTATTAAAATTACAAGTAAAAATAGATTTCCAGTCAAAAGCGATATGTTGTAGCCAACTACGGCCTAGAAGCATAGGCTGGTTCGTACGATCAATCTTAACGACTATCATAGGTAATTGATAAGTCTGGTCCATGTAGGTTACTTTGACTAAAGCTTGTCCAATAACATTGACTTCATTGCCTGAATATGTAAGCAACTTGATATCTACAGTACTCAATTGTACATGAGGGAAATATTTGTTAAACAATTCTTGAGGGCACACAGTTAGTGCCGAGCCAGTATCAATTTCCATTAATACGGATACATTCTCTATTTCTAGGCTTACCTTAAAGGCAGAAACATTATCACCAGAATTCATACTGTACAAAGACAAACTTTCAAACTCCACTACATCTGGACCACCACTAGACCTAGGCCTATTTTCCTCTTCCATCTGATGGATTTTAAATTTACCACTTTTTATGGAATTTTTCACTGGATTTTCTGATTTGAACCTGCAAACCTTACTGATGTGACCCAACTTTTTACACCCATGACACTTGTAATTACTATACGGGCAATTATTAGCCCTATGCTCTGGATTGCCACAACGAAAACACTTATTTATCTGAGACATATCTCCCTTCACATCACTTGAATTTGATTTAGATCCCGCACTGTGAAAATTTGAACCTCGGTTGGAAACACGTGCATTCTTCTTGACCTGAAATCTGGAAATTTCCTGAACACTTGTATTCGAGAATAGACCTGTTTGTTTCTCGGCCTGTTCAAGCCTGAGTGCAAGAGCCAACGTTTTCTTCAAATCCATTTCTTCGGAAAGTAATTTTTGACGAATTGCTTCATTTTTAATTCCCGAAACTAACTTGTCTCTCAGTGCGTCCGATAAGAATGTTCCAAAATCACACGTCGAAGCCAAATGCTTCACTGCCACTACGAACTCGGCAATACTTTCAGATTGTTTCTGGCATCGACTATAAAAAGTATAACGCTCAGCGACCACAAGGCGTTTAGGAGAATAATGATCTTCCAAGATTTTGCTCAAATTATCGTAAGATTCTTCATCAATCTTCTTAGGAGAAATAAGATCGGTGAGGACGGCTAATATTTTAGGGCCTATTACAGTAATCAAGATGGAGACCTGCTTCACGTCCTTGACCTCGTTGGCCTTGAAAAAGTGTTTCAAACGTAACAAATACGAACTAATATCTTCTTCGTACGGATTAAACTCCGATATCCGACCGATACTAGACATTTCACGCACACGGGGATTTAATTTCGTCGCCAAATGTAATAACTGTATTACTCAATATTAATAAGTTAAAAGAACCCGATACCGGCACGAAGCGGAGTGGAACGGCAGTCGGAGTTAACATGCTAATTAGTAAGTTGTCCCTGGTATCGGGTTCTTTTAACTTATTAATATTGAGTAATACAGTTATTACATAACCCTTAAAAACATTTGAAACTCATTCCCAAAAATTCCATCATCACTTGTGACAAGAGGAGTAAATGATGCATGTAGTTGTTCGCAAGCTTTAGTATACTTTCTTTTTTATCATCTTCTGACTTTTTTATAATTTGTTGATGAGGGATGGAGACATAACATGGAGCATCAGTGTCAACGACACGAACATCAAACAATGCCTCCATCTGAGTCTCCCATACGCCTCTACAAGCTATACAGCTTTTAGTGCAGGTTCGTTTAGATGGCTGCGTCCTGCTATCAACGGCTCTTTAATGCAGTTTCCCCAGGCTTGTTCCATCATGCTACCTATTGTGTCTCTTAGGCCGGGGCCACACTCATCTTATCTCGCTGAATTTTTTCCACGGGCGTTACCCGTGGGTTTGAGAGATACATTACGGTATATGGGGCAGGCCACACTATAGTAAAAACGTCCGTGAACGCGTTTGTCAGTCTCACTGGTTTTACCAGCGAGACTGACAAACGGAATTGCACGTGTATTCTCTACTAACATCCCACGGGCGTTGCACGTAAAACTAGTCGCGGGGCATTGCGGCTTATGGGAGTGAACACACTCATCTTATCTCGCTGAACTTTTTCCACGGACGTTTCTAGTTTTAAACTGTACAGAGAGCGTGGAAGGGGGGGGGGGTGCGATGCGTATCACGGACACGGACGATTTTTATTGCCAGTGTGGCATGCTCTATCAGTCTCGCTGGTTTGCCTGAAAAACCTATCTCGTAAGACGAGTGTGGCCACGGGCAAACTGTTTCACGTGCGTCGCACGTGAAAACGGAAAAAACAGTCTCGCTGGTTCAAAATTACAAGTGTGGCCCCGGCCTACTTCGTTGTGTCTTTTGATTATAATTCCTCCAATCCGAAATTTAAGAGCATGCTCCACACTGAACTCATTTCCGCAGCCCTCAAACATATATAGTTAGTTTCCTTCATCAACAGTAAGTGTGTAAATTTAAATACAAGAATTAACTATTAATAGAACTGGTTGAAAGAAACGATCTGTGCATTTTAAATGTTTTTGTAGTATGGAATTAGAGATATACATATGTTTACTATTGAATTTATCGATTCTTAATTTTTTTTCTTATTATTGGATTGTTTGTTGTGTTATAAGTAATTTATTATTCAATGCTCAAATTTTCTTAATTATTTTATTTAAAAATAAATCCTAATTAGCATTTTTACTTATACGTGGTAAATTGGGTAAACTTTATGGTAAACTTTATGTAGTACCGATAGATATCATTTCACTAATATTTCAAAACACTATCGAAAAGGCACAACAGAATTGCTGAAGTTTATAACAGCTGATGTTTGTTTTGTTAAAGATTTATTGTGGGTGAAATTGTATAATTTCAATTATATTGTGTACATAAAAAAATTAGTTAACTGTAGTTTGAAACATCAAGATAGAACTCAAAAGTATGAACATTTAAGGAAAAAGATGAGGAAATAATGGAGACAATAGTGAATTCAAGTGTAAGAAAGTTTTATTCGAAAATTGGTAAGATGTTCTCATATTCACTTACACAAGATTTAAAATTTATTAAGCCCAAATGGTGGTTTCCATTACTTATCTGAATCAAAAGCCATAAAATCTCAAATAATGAAGTGATATGGTTGAATTTAGATGCTTAAACCGTTTGTGGATGTGTAGGCCGAACTATTTATAGGCATACATTAGATGCAAACAACTAATTCTTCTCTTTCACGTCCTCTTCCCGTTGCAAAGCACGAGTACACCAGCTACTGCTAGTATAACCCCAAAATACGATTAGTAAAATACTTTATGAACAACTAGCTGTGTACCCGTTCTACGCACGGGGATCTTATAATATTCAGTTGAAACCTTCTTATATAACGAACAGCAGTTGGTTTGCATATTTTAAGATATGCTGGCCAAACTATTATACATAGCTTCATTTTATGTTGTTTTTTGTTGTTCCGGATCGGTATGACAATCAATAAAAGGTTAAATTACCTCTGTGTCTGCCGGTCGATCCTATAACGGTAGGCTTACTTTTATTTTTACTATCTGATCTCGTTTGCATGGCTCAATCACGTCCTGGTTGAAGTTCGTTCGCTACGCTCACTCACCTGTATGTTGGAGCTCGTTCGCTGCGCTCACTTTCCTTCAGGTTAGCTCGTTCGCTACGCTCACTTGCCTTCAGGTTAGCTCGTTCGCTACGCTCACTCGCCTCCAGGTTGCAAATTAGCTGTTGTCATAAATGTAAAAGAAATAATAGTGCTAGTGCTGCACCCTGTTGGTAATCCTTGTAACTTTAATGCTATTGAACATCACAGAACAGAACCAACTTGTTTAATTGAAACAGCTGTTAAGATTCAATAATTTCATTTCTCATAAGGTTAACATGGGCTTCCAGAAATTCCACGTCAAAAATCGACAAAAACTTGATTTTCAAGGGTTTACTGTTAAATATCTAACTGTCTCATATTCGATGAAATACGTCTAAAACCATCTCATATATGTATAGTATTTGGAAAATAAGTTTCAGGCGGGACAGTGCTATAGTTATTGAGGAGTAGTTGTAATAAAGTGCGTATTTTAGCGTTACCAAGAGAATGACAGATAGACAGACAGACAGACAGACAGACAGACAGACAGAAATTGAGATAAGGTTTGATTCGGTTTCTCTGACCTATGAAATGTAAAAATAACCAAAAAGTTCATTATTCTAAGCAATGTACAGACAAAACTCTAATTTTATTTATATAGATGATAAAAGGTAAATAAAATAGTAAGACACAGGTCACCAAAACAGAGAGACTAACATACTGCATGATTTATTAAGCCTCCAAAATTAAGTTGGTTTAAGTAGACCTACTGAAAAATAAGGCACTAAAAAGTTATGATCCAAGAAATCAAGAAAAAAACCAAGAAAAACATTAATCTGACACCAGCAATTTATGTAAATAGAAAGTTTTCAACATAAACGGATTTAAGGTAGACCTTGTTTAACTACAGATCCAGTAAATAAATAATCAAGCAATTTTTTTCTATTACCGCTTATCTTTAACATAGAACTCTGTTCCATCTTTTTACGTGTAACAGTACGGTATTTAAATTGGAGAGAAACATTGAAACGATTGCAAATTCTAATTCAGGTAAAGTAATGAAATAATTCTTCAGCGTAAGAAATCAATATATCGATAGTTCAAAATTGTCAATTTTGAGGTTTTAGGACACTCTCCTACTTCGCTGAACGCGACAAAGGACTTTCTGATGGCGTTTAAATCAACACAGTAGTTTTTAAGAGCTTTATAATTGGTTTAAATTAAATGGCAGAAATTTAATAGACTCTCATAGTTTATGATTTGTAAAATAGATATCATGTTCATTTCTGCTATTAAAAATTTCAATTTCATAGGATAATTACGCTTTCAGGATATTAACGAAAGGTTAGAAATTAATGCTAACAGGAAACCCGTTATCTCACATTTAGATCAGATCGACTTGCCAATTGGTTTCATTTATCAACCAATATGTGCCAAGGTCAACCCAAGGTCATCCAATCAACGGCGTCCGACCAAGCATTACTTCCATTGAGAGGGTGATTCTGATTCAATTATACTATTGAATATTAACTAGTGAATTGTGTAAGTATTTCGTTAATTATTCTATTTTTGATGAATAGTACCTCTTTTAATACTTTTATTTTTTAATACTTTTCGACTAAATGGCGACCATACAAAGTACAGTAGGTATTTTAAGCCAAGTATGATCGAATGGAGATGAGTCAGGATGAGTGGTTCGATCTTGTAGTCTTGTTAGTGACTAACCTTTTACCTTTTACCTTGGTCCTCTTCTCCGTAGTCGTAGAGACTAGGGAATCGTCATCTTCTTTTTTTGTTGTGTTATTGTAGTGTTAATGTGTTGTGTGTATGGTGTAAAGTGGGTTTATTTTAAAGCCTATCTTTGTGGTGAGCAGTGTGCTCTTCAAAGAACTCATCTAATTTGTAGAATGGTTTCTGGACTAAATATTCTTTGAGTGATTTAAAAAAAGGTTTTGGAGATTTGATTTGTTTTATATGTTCTGGGAGAGCATTAAAGATTTTTGACCCCATGATTTGAGGTATTTTGCTGGTTTTTGACAATCTGTGTTGTTGGATATCGAAGTTTGTTTTTGTGTTTCTCAAGCTATATTTGTGGCAGTTTTCCCTAAGCTTTGGGGGGTTTAGTTTTAGGAGGTTTACAACTTCAAGGATGTATAGGTTTGGAACGGTAAGGATTTTGTTTTTAACGAAGTTTACAATGCTCTTGTGGTTGTAGGTTCTCAATGATTCTTAATGCCATTTTTTGAAGAATTTGGATTATGTAGATGTAACAATCCGCCGCTGTCCCCCAGGCTACTATTCCGAAGCGTAAGTGAGATTCGAAGAGTGCGTAGTAGGCTATTTTTGAAGTATTTTTATCAGTTATAGAGCGTATTCTTCGTATGGCAAAAAGTGAGGATGATAATTTTTTCCCAAGTTTTTCCAGGAGGTTATTCCAGGTCAGGTGTTGATCAATGGTTATGCCCAGGAAAGTTGTATGAGTTGCTGTTGTTATCAATGCTTCTTCGGTTGATAGTTCAGGTTGTTTACTTGTGGTGGCGAAGTTAACATTTAAAGTTTTGGATTTATTAATTTTGAGGTCCAGGGTTTTACAAATTTCTATTGCTTGCTCAATTGTTTCTTTTATGTCTGATGATTCCTGGCCAATTTTTGTGGGAAAGAGGATGGTTGTGTCGTCGGCGAAGATAATGCTGGTCTTGTTCATTGGTAGAAGGTCTGGTAGGTTATTTATGTAAATTATGAAGAACAGAGGTCCCAGTACCGACCCTTGGGGAATACCTCGAGTTGTACGTTGTAGTGTTGATTTGGCTTTTAATTCTGTGTTATTGTTGTAGTAGTTTATTTCTACCTGCTGGAAACGGTTTGTAAAGTAGCTTATTACCCAATTTAGGGCATTCCCCTTTATATTCATTTCATTAAGCTTGTTGATGAGGATGGTTTGATTTAGGCTATCAAAAGCTTTTTGGATATCAAGAAAAATTCCAGATACATTTTGTTTTTTCTCCCAGTAAGAGGTGATGGTTTCACAGAGTTGATTTAAGGCTGTATTTATGGACTTATTTTTGCGGAAGCCGTGTTGATTAGGCGAAAGAAAATCAATATTAATTAGGTGTTCCATGATTTGTTCGTAGATTACTTTTTCGAGGTATTTTGATAGGGTGGGAAGGATAGATATCGGTCTGTAATTTGATATTTTTGTAGTTTCATTTTTTTTATGTTTTGGGTATACTGTTGCTATTTTCATTTTTGTTGGTACTATTGCTTGATGAATTGATGCATTTATGATGTTGACGAGGGGTGACAGTAGCTCTTGTTGACAGTATTTAATAATTTTATTTGGTATTTCGTCGTATCCAGAAGAATTTTTCGGAGGTAGTTTTTTAAAGATTTTTGCCAGGTCTTGTTCGTTTATCGGTTTGAAAGTTGTTAGGTTATGGGTATAGCTTTTGGGTTCTTGTTGGAGTGATGTAGGAGTGGTGCTTGGGTTTTTATCACCGGGTGTTCCTTGATCTACAAAGTATGAATTTAAGGCATTACTTATAATTTTGGGATTGTCGATGAGCTGATTATCGATTTCGATGGTTAGATTTTTACGTGTGTGCTCTTTAGGCTTTTTTTCCTTATTTATGGTTGTCCATATCTCCTTGCTTTGATTTGTTGAGTTAGAAATTTTGCTTAGGGTGTGTTGTGATTTTTTCTTTTTGATTTCCAGGTCGTATGTACGTTTTAGGATGGTGAGGGTCTGCTTGTCTTCTTCTCGTCCGGTGGTATTGTATTTGTTTTGTGATGTTGTTAAGACAGCTTTCAGTTTTTGTAGGTTTTCGTCCCAGAAGTATGATTTATTTTTAGGCTTAAATATTTTTTGAGTTCTTGGCATAATTTCATCCATCTCTCTTCTTATAATGTTGATAAAATTATTGTATTTTTGTTCCACAGACTGACTCTCATACACTTCTCTCCAGGTTTCTTTACTAAGTCTCCTTTTTATTTCTTCTAAATTTTGAGGTGAGATAAATAAATAAATAAATAAAAAGGCCTTTATTTGCGAGCGAGTTTCATAATACATGGTTTTCAAACTAACTCAAGTCACTAAATCTAAACTATCCTAATATATTTACATAAGTATATACAAACAAATTACAACAGAATAATTACAATATACATTTTACATTTGTTTTTTTCATTGCGGCCCTGAATGTGTTGTACGATTTTGAACACTTGATCTCTTGAGGGAGGCCATTGTACAACCGCGGGCCGAAATAAGAAAAAGACTTTCTTCCAGCCTCAAGCCTCACTTTAGGAAAGTGAAGCTTGCGGTCGGAGCGAGTACTACGCAGACAGATCTCCCTCCTGTACTTCAGCCTCTCGCTGAGGTAATGAGGCTCTCCCAGCGTGAGCACTTTGTGGACCAGGCAGCAGGTCAGCTTTCTGCACATGTCATCCATTGGGATGAGCTTAGCAGCATCTCTGTAGGAGGACACGTGTTCAAAGCGACTAAGGCCAAAAATGAACCTTATGGCAGAATTTTGAATTCTCTGAACTCTTGCCATATCCTCCTTAGAGACGCTGTTTCCATATGCAGGAAAGCAATATGTGAAGGCTGGAAGGACCAAGGACCGCATGAGTTGCGTTTTGGCAAATTCTGGCAGGAGAGTTTTGAATCTGCTAAGACCTCTCAATCTTCCCACTGCGCGTTGGACTGCAGATGTGACGTGGTCAGAAAAAGAGAGGTCTTTGTCAAGTACAACACCAAGCGTGTTGACAGTGTCACAGACAGACAATCCCATGCCATCAAGGGTGACTTTAATGTCAGATTTTCTCAACTCCTGCATTAGAATATGTGGTCCAGTATGCATGACAACACACTTGTCAACGTTCAATCCAAGGCCATTCATGGCAGACCATTGAAAAATTCTGTGCAAATCAGCATTGATGAGTTCAATTGCTGCGGATGTCATGTCTGGCTTGTATGACAAGTGTAATTGACAGTCATCAGCATACAAGTGTGCTGTACAATATTTTACACTTCTGGGCAAGTCAGACGTGTATAAATTGAACAGCACAGGGCCTAAACAACTACCTTGAGGAACACCTCGCAATTTGCAAAGCGGATCTGATGTCCCACTCCCAATTTTGGTAACCTGCAGTCGGGACTCCAAATAGGACCGAAACCAACATACAACTTTTTCGCTGCAACCATAGTACTTCATTTTTGCAAATAATAATTCATGATCAATAGAGTCGAATGCTTGAGAGTAATCTAAAATAGCTAATGTGCTGTACAGTCCTTTGTCTTTGGCATCAAATAGATCAGCAAACATATTAGTCAGTGCAGTACATGTGCTGTGGTTTTTTCTAAACCCTGACTGTAGCTTAGGCAGTATATTATACTCATCTAGAAATAAAGTGATTTGTTCGGTTACTATCTTTTCCAGTATCTTTGAAATTGCAGGTAACACAGAGATAGGTCTTAGCTGCTGGATGGTTTTTGGCGTAGCAACTTTAGGCAAAGGTTTCACGTAGGCAATCTTCCAACTGCTAGGAAAAACACCAGAGGCCAGGCTCATATTTAATAAATGTGTAATTGCTCCTAATGCATATGGGCTAACAGATTTTATCATTTCTATAGATATATCATCAGCACCTAGAGCTTTTGATTTTATCGAGTTCATTGCCTCCTTAACATCATTTTCTGTAATAAGTTTGAAATTAAACCTATCATTATCTCCGTGTTTTTTATCTTTTTGAAATATATTCAGTATTTCAATATCTATATCTTTTCCCGATCCCATATTGGTGAAATATTCATTTATTCTGTTAATATCTAAATCAGCGGGGAGCACACTATTTCTCTTACTACTTATAATCTCACAATTTTTTAAACAATTCCAGAACTCTGCAGGTTTTTCACATTTTGCAAGCTTGTTAGAGAAGAATCTTTTTTTAGCCTCTAGTATCATGGAATTCAATTTATTCCTCGATGTCTTGTACTCATACCAGTCCGAAGAATCTCTGGTCTTCCAGTATTTGTTACGGTGCTTATTTTTTAAAAGTGACAATTCTTTAATCTTTTCATTTATCCAAGGAGCCTTTTTCCGTGTTACCTTCTTACAAACAACAGGAGCAACCTCATCAAACACCTTCTTTATATTATCGGTAATGAATTTCTCTATCTCATCAGGAGACTCTAATTTGTACACATAGTTCCAGTTAATATCAGCAATTATATTTAGTGCAGTATCAACATTGAATTTGGAATAATCTCTATATGTGATTAGCTTCGACCCCCTTTTGTCTTTCTGACAAGATATACAACAATATATTAATTTATGATCAGTCATCCTCATTCCTCTGTGGTCAACTATGCTGGGGGTGTCTATGACTCCAACACTTTCAATCTCGGCAGATTTGTCTACTATAATATGGTCAATCAATTTTGCCGAGGTTTCTGTCACTCTTGTAGGCTCGTTGACAATTTGTATAGTGTTGGATTCTCTCATCAGCCTACACAGGTAATTTGTTTCGCAGGTTTGTGACAGCAT